TTAATATGTCAAATTTAAGACAATGTAACGGTGTGCGAGGTATCGAAATCAAATAATTCTATGTGTTAATTATTATACGAATTCTTATTTACTGCTTCAAAAAATATCGTCAGCTTTATAGTAGAAAATCTTTGAACTCCGGCTCTTCTTTAGCTAAAAAATCATCAAGTACGGAGGGTTAAAACTTTGACTTTGAACGGTACGTCGTCCGTAGCGACCGTGCTTTTTGGGGCTAACCTGGAAAATCCTCAGACGTTCCGTCAAAGTAGCCGAGCAATTCGACGACTGAGTTTATGCTTACTCTCGAGCGATCTGTCGACCGGTTTTCGTTAAATGGGCCCTGTTGATTTAGCGCCATCTCACGCCTCACGACCTCCATCTCTCTCTTCATCAACGTACCACAATAAACTCCAAAAATATCCTACAATAATTTAAGTCACTATTATAATAACTATTATGAATGGTTAAAATATTTTTTGATTATAAACGTCATTATAAACGATGGAAATTGTTTTTAATTACGAATAACAAATATGGACAACAGACATTGTTTTTAGTTACGAATAATCATTGTACGAGGATTTTATTTTGATTATCACAAATATGTTAAATATAACATTATGTTAAATATCGCAGTTTGGTGTTGTTATTATGTATAATAATGATAATAATACAACAACACCAAATTACGATATTTTTATTCTACACTTTTTTTTCATTAATATTTATGCTTTCTATTGTTTAGTATATTTTTCAGTGTTTTTCAGTATTTTTAGTATATTTTCATTACCAATATTGATTCACCAAAATAAAGCGAAAATGGTTATTTGCAAACAAAGATACTTTAATTATCTATAATATTCGTAACAAAAAGAATTTCAATCATTTCTACTGATTTTTTATATCTAGAACGGCTACAAATTGGGAGTTTTTTAATTATCATACTTCTTAGAGAATTTTTATAAAATTTAATGATAGTTATATCAATACTTTATCAATGATTTTTTTCAGTCTATCCCTTAAAATAACTGTTATTTTTTATCTCTGATCATAGCAAACGAAATGATTAATATTTATATCTAACAATAAGTAAAATTGTAAACGTGCAATAATTTCTACTACAAAATTATTAAATATCAAATTAAAATAAAATAAAATAGAATATTGCAGAAAATGTAAATTTTTTCATCTGTTATAAAAACGTAGAGAAAAAACTTCAACTTAATAAATAGTTACATTATTATCTTTGATCATAGCAAACAAAATGATTAATGTTTATATCTAACAATAAGTAAAATTGTACACGTGCAATAATTTCTACTACAAAATTATTAAATATCAAATTAAAATAAAATAAAATGGAATATTGTAGAAAATGTAAAATTTTTCATCTGTTACAAAAACGTAGAGAAAAAACTTCAACTTAATAAACAGTTAGATACTGCACTTGTTTCAAATTTTTTATTTCGTTTGTACTTTTAAAAAGTTTGACATTTCCCTAAACTTTTTAATATATTTATAAGTAACAGAAGTATCTAAATGTTCTTCATATAATAAAAATTATGATAGAAATAAAATTTCTTTATATTTATAAATTAATTATATATATAGCGAAATTATTAATTATTTAAAATTGTATATTTACAGATATTTGTAGATATTACGCATTTGTTACATGTAAGTACTTAAGTACATGTTTGCTTAAAATAAAACTTTCTTAGTAATCATTTGTTAAAGATCTTTGATTTGATAATTTTCGAATATATTATAGAAATAAACATTGAACAATTTTTTTATTTACATACAATATATAATCGGCTTTACCTTTTGAGATAATCAGAAAAAATTGGGATAGTATCTGATAGCAGATAATCTCCTCGCATTTATCTTCCCCCAGTATTCTTTTAGAACGTTTTATTTTATCTACGAAACATCAAAATTGAGAGAGCTCGGAAAAGAATTGTATTTTCTACTACTTTTCTCAAAAACGTATTAGTTGTGATGCTAATCAGTTTATACTTAGGATAATATAACTGACTCATATAAGAAATTATGAAAAATTAACTTTAGACTCTAGAAGCTAGTACCGGTTTTAAGAGAGCAGTAGTAGTTTTAATTTAGGAAAGTGGCAAAAATTTTAATCATTATAAATAACAGTTAGTATTTATATAAATGAATTATAAGTTGTGCACGTTGTCATTGCATGAATATAGAAATTTAATATCGAAGGATTAATATTTCGGAAACTAAAGCCGTTCTCATATTATATATACAAATTATCATAATGTATATAAAAGAAAAAGTTGCTTAAAGTAACATCCTCGACAATATATTTAAAAATCGCCGAAATCAAAAATGTGCTCCCTTTAACAAATAACAATTTTTATTTTTATTTTCATTTCAAAATATCCATTGTATAGAATTTTAATATGGATGTATTACATTAATTCAGCAATTGAAACATTAATTCAATAAATATAGTTTATTTATAAACTCTAATCTCTATTTATTTCTATATATTTCATAGTTTTGTTATAATTTTTTAATTGAATATTTATAGACCTATGTCTGTATTTATACCTAACAAAAGAGGTATACTGTATATATACATATATATACTATAATATCAAATTCAAGATTTGCATACTTATGGATATTAATATAACATAGTGTTAGAATAAGTTATATTTAATAACTCATTCAAGTAATTAGATAATTCACAGTTTAGATGTGTATATATCAAATGTATAAAAGTTAAGTAGTTACGTGTTTTAAGAGAAAATATTAGCAAGATCTTAATATAATCTTATGCAACTTCATTATTTGTAATATAAGTCTAAAATATTATTTTTATTAAAGAACAACTTTAATTATAAACAACGAAAAGATAATTAAATAACTAGATAATTAAAGAACAATTGTTTAAAGGAATACTGAAGAACTACCTTGTTTTATTTTGCTCATATATAAATATTATTTTGTACTAATATGTTTACAAGTCATTAGAAAGATTAACAGGTAATACTAATTATAAATCTCAAACTATGTTTATTTTGTATAAATTTAATTTGATACTTCTTATCAAACTTTCTTTTGTAAACTAAATATTTAATAATTCTCATACTAAACCATTTTTCGTTTTTAAAAATAAAATTATCACATCTAATTTTATTACTAAAGATATGATTATATTAAATGCTTATTTATGTTACACTATGTTTATATCTTATATACATATATTGTAATTTTGAAGGATTAGCTTACTATAACTATTAAATTATATATGTTACATCAAACAAACTAAAAAAGCAATTATTTTAAGAAATTGAAATTTGCCTTAAGAGTTTATAATTTATCAAGTTTTTATATCTATAAGGTATTTACAAAATTACTCTGTACACTACATTCATAAGATTAATAGAAGGGATTATTCATCTTGCTACGACAAATACTCAAGTCTAATAATTAAATGTGTACTATTCCAATCTCAAAAATTAATACTTACTAATACTTATCAATCAAACATTTAATATTTTATCATATTTGATGTATTTCAAATATACTTTGTTTATAATATATTTAATAACAAATTGTTATTTATACAAATATAATTTTATAATTTTATAATTTTTCAAACCATTTGTTAAACAATTTATTTTAATCTATAAGAAAAATGCATCAGTATCATCCAGAAATAATAAATTAAACTAAATGAAAATTTAATAGAAATGTTAAATTTTAGTAATAATTCTCCAAAACATGAATTAAAATGGCAATAATTTTGTTATACATATAAACTATGAATATCTGTAATAATATATTTTTTTTGTTAAATAAAAAATGTAATAAAATATAAAATACAGTAAATCTGAAAAATATTTTATAGCAATGTATGTAATAAAATATGTAATATATCGAAATTATTAAACAAAATTTTACTTTTAAAAATAAGCAGAATTCTAAATAAAATCTATACAATAATTAATTTTTATTCACTAATGATTTGAGAAATTTTTAAATTTTATATAATTTATGTTCCAAAGAACGTTTAATGTAAAAATTATATCACTGCATTTTCAAATATTAATTTTTAAACGTTTTTAATTACCTGTAACATTATATATATAGTTAATAAATGGGTCTACAATAATTTACTGTTACTTTCTATTCATATGTATGCATATGCAACATCGTGCATGAACATAATAATATACGTGTATATATATGTATATATATCTTTATGATATTTATCTGCAACAAGATGATGAAATATTTCACTTAAAATATGCTCAAATTGTTAAATTTTCTTTATGCGTAGATTCTATTTATAAATTTATCTTTAACTTTTTATTAGATTATTTTATTAAAAATTGTCTTGTTGTGTAGATTACAATAAACTATCAAATCATATATATGTTTTAAAATATTTTTAGTAATATATTTTTACTTTTATAATATTCACTTATGTCAATTATAAATCACTTTTATCAATAAAATTTGACATTGTTACATTAGTTGTATTATTAAATTTCGACATCAATTTTAGTTATTGTACTTTATGACTGTTTATAAACAGCTGAGTGCAATTATGTCAACATTGCAATATGGTGTAGTGTATTTTTAAAGGTGCATTGTACGTTTCTAATTCGTATAATGTTATCTAGGCTGAAATAGATAGACTTTAATTACAAAGTAAATAATATTTATTAACATAAAAATAATAACAATGAAGAAAATAATAATATATACTGAGTTTAATGTTATACAATTCTGTTGAGGTTATATTAAATTATTTAATGTTTTAAGGTTATACTGTATTTATTACTTTGAACATATAATCGAACATTCAAATCAATGAGTAATAATGTAACCTCTGAACAGTTTTAAAAATAATATTTATAGTGTATCAGTGTCTTTGATCTTGTGAAGATGAGCCTTGTGTTACACACTGATGTAATATATGAAGAAATTTGCTTTTTCTATTAATAATGATGGATATGTAAATAAATAAAAGCAAACATCATGGCTTCTACAAAAAATGAGGTAATTATATAAATTTTATATTAAAGATTATATAACATAATATTACCTTTCATGATTTTGTACATTGCCTTATATGTTATATTTGTAATTTAAAAAATAGAATTTTTAAACTTACATCAGCCTTTAGCTAAATAAAAGCTACACGTATCTTTTATTTAGGTGTACAAATTGTAGAGCGTATTTGTGACATTAGTACTTTTATAAAGTTAAAGTACGTATATGATATTAAATCCAGTAGTTTTAAGTGCATTTCTGTAGTATGTTATTTAAAATTTCATGTATGAATATTTATTTCATTATAAGATAATTTGTGAAATTGTGATAGAATTTTTGGATATTTAATTTTCTATGAAATCAGTGGTTTATGAATATCACTATTGTAATAATGAAAGAGTATTTCATTTAAACATTTCGAAAATATAATCCAAATTATAAGTTATAATTAAATAACCATAACAAAATAAGTTATTAGGCTGCGTATATTGGTAAAAGTAACAAGAATTTTTTGTATATTACTTTTTCCGTAACCAGCAAAGGAATGTTGAAAATAATTGGACCAATTTTGATAAAGGATATAATTAATAAATAACAGATATATTTGAAGTAAATGAATACAAATATATACTTCGCCAAAAAAAATATTATTGACTTTCTGTGCAAGTAAAAGATAAAACAATTATTATATATGAAAATATATTGATCTTAATGGACAATATTTAATGATGTGTATGAATTTAAAATAGCATGCACGAAGTAGCATAAGAAACAATAAATTAAATGACAATTAACTAAAATTTGAATGATTAAATTGAACAATATTTATATAATGTAAATATAAAGATAGTCCGTATAATTAGGCCAAATTGTATCTCTTCTCAAGTCACAATTAGTAAGAATTGATAGAGGAAACATTTGAAGAATAGAAACAAATTTTCTTTCTTATATACAAATTTAATGTACTCATAACTTCTTTTAAAGTAGATATATATAATAAATTTCATTTATGTAAAATGTTTCCCATTACCAATTATAAAAAATTTTAGTAATATTTTTTTAATATTTCTTATGCTCAAATATTTAGGTTTTATTTTATTTATTTGTAAATTTTGTTTGTAAAGATGTTCAATAATACAGTTCTTGTATTGTTATTATATTGTAATGTCTATATTAGTAGACTATATATTATAAAAACACTTATGCTACTTTTTCTACTATTCATAAAATATTATATTGTAATATTTTTATAATTCTAATGTCCTACTTTTGTATTTTTATTATAATTATTACTAAATAGTAGAACTTCTGCATTACATAAAGTCTCAATGAACAATGTTTCTGAATGTTTGATTTGATTATTCAAATATAAAAATGATAGATAATGTGTTTTTAGCAATTTTTTTTTAAAAAGATAGTTACTTATTTGAAATATTAAAGAATTTGCTTAGTTTTTAAATACTATGATATTCTATCATGCAGAATGGTAAAACAAATCAATTTATGCAAACAAAATATATATTTTAATTTATAGGTAGGTATAATTATGTATTAAAAATGCATCATTGTATACTTACAAAAAAGATTTTGTTGTGATAAAATTGGTTTGTTCCGTATTCAGTTGTTATTATTCTTCTCGTTTTTAATTGTATTCAGAGAAGGGATACAAACTGTCAATGTACATTTTCATTGATATATAAAGAAAAGTCTACTTTTTAAATTATTTCTCAATTTTAAGTAATAAAAGTAGTTTTCAGGACATAAAAAAAATCAGTAGAAGTTAAGACGTATAAAATAAGACAACATAAAGTGTTATATTTACAAAATTTATAACTTGAGAGATATAAATTCATTTAGATTTTTGTTACTTCTTTCAAACAACGAAAATTAATCATTGAATTTGATTATAACATTTTTGTTCAAGATGTTAGTATGCATTAGGATCTTACTTTGCAATCTTTGAATTTCATCAGTTGAAGTTTCTGGAATATTTTGAATATATATAAAAATGTTATATAACAGGTAACTTCAATTAAACTAGCCAATGTGCTTGAAGTTTTACTCCTTTAAATGAATATTGTAAACGATGTTATTTCAAGTCTTTAAGTCAAAATATTTAGCTGTATAATAGCTTTCCTTTTCTTATGCCTATCAGTATTATTCGTATCTTTATATATCTCAGCTATTGAGAATTATTTTTAACATATTTGTTGATCAACTCTTATTTATGTGTTTTCATGTAAGTTTTTACTGATATATGATGATATCTGTAGCACATACAGACATATATCAATTTATACAATTATTGAAGTAAAAAATTGTATTTATAAGTTGTTATAATATACATAGTTTATTATGTTACATAATGTTTGCTTAATTTGGATATTATTTTTTTGGATTTGTGATATTTTAATCACAATTTTGATACCATTAAATTAAAACCAATTATATTTATAAGTACAAATCAGTTTTGACTGATAAAATATAATGTTTGATAATAATATAAACATATATAGAAATTTTTTATAATTATTTAATTTTGTACATATGTACATATTCTTTCATTCTCTATTTTTTATTTCTTATTTCTTATTTATATCACGCGATACAGTCATTCTTACGAAATATTTCTGGGTACTATATATAAACATTGCATGAATATGTATTCTTCGTTTGAATTATAATTTTAAGCACTTTTTTCTTTACGCTTCTAATTTGCTGTTCTGTGTTTTTTTTGTATATATATTGATTTATTAGTCATAGATTCCATATAGATTCTATATACATAGATTATGAGTGAGAACCAGATTTGAATTTTTTGAAACTTGATTTTGAAATGTGATAGAATTTCAAAAATTTCGAAATTTTCAAAACTTCAATCGTTGATTTTGTTTTGGAAATGAGATATTTTATTTCAGAGACTAAAGTTTGAACTAAATTTTTACTGACTATAGGTAAACAAAATACAAATGAAAAGATAAGAATATACAAAGTATCTAATACTTATTCTTATTCAAGGATGTAAAATTAGCTCTTTCTAATCTAATCTACTTCTTTTTAATCGATTATGGCGCCAAATGTATCGAAAAATCTTTCAAAGAATACAGTTGATAATGACATAATAATATTTTCTTTTTATTCGTCGATTTTATATTTCTTTTTATTTGGATTTCAAATTACAGATAATATAGGAAAAATCATAGGAATAGTACAACGTTTTAAGTTTCGAATCTCAAAATTTTCGAAAATTTCGAAAGGTTTCAAATTTTTGATATTTCAAGAAATTGATTTCTGTCAAAAATTCTAGATTTGCTTGACGAAAATTTTCTGATTCATAATAAACAACATGTGTACTAAGCCTTTTGCGAATAAATTATATAGGAATAAAAGTACTAAAATTTATTTGGACTTTGCAATTTTTATTAATTAATTATAAGATGCGCAATGATATGCATTAGTTTTTACATGAAATGGCTAATCAATAACATGTTGCGAGCTACGATACAAAGGAATTTCTCTAACGATGTTAAAATTTCCTTTATAAGATATGAATGAAAATGTTATTGTATCTGTGTTTCCGAAAAATTATATTAACGAAGTAGATATTATAGTAATTTGTACATATATTCTTTTAATTCTATAAATAGAAGTTATGTCTTTTTTTAATTTATTGAAAATAATAACCAATTTAGTGAAAATAATAGTAAATAATCAAAATGAGTTTTAAATAACAACCAAAGGACTTCATTTCTTTCTCTTAAATTTTAAATAAAACAAAATAAAAATAAAAGTAAATAACATTAATATAATTTTATAAATAAATAATATTCATATACATTTGATAATTATTATAGTAGTAGGTATCTTATTCTTGTTCACTGCATTTTAAACAAATTATAGGTTCATCATTGTAATTTCTCCACAAACATATTTCTCATATTTGAACTTGATTATGATGATTTTATTGTCCTTACGATATCTCCTTGGGCATATAATAAGAGGGTATAAATTTTTCAGTTGGTCAAATGATTGTTCATGACAAGTAATGTCATATTGAAAGACTATGTCTCTCTTCATCTTCTGAGTAAATGGATAAACTGATAAGAATATTTATTGAACACAATAATAGCACAACATTAATTATAACTAAAACTCGTAAAATAAATTCGCTTCTAACTGCGATATAATCTCTCGAGGACTCTCTCACATACAACGTCTATTTGTAATGACTGTCATTCACCAACTGATTGTTTTTCGTGACTCTTTGTCATACTCGTCACACACATATTCTTCCACACAAACATTCCTCACACCTATACCATACATTCTATGAGAACCACTACCACATATCTAACGCATATTTAACCTTCTATGGGCTCGTGTAATTTTCAAGTTACATGCTAATGCATGGGTATTTTATTAAATACTACATTCAACGTTATCGTCTCGATCACTCCAGTTCGCGATTTTTCTTTCGATATATTTATAATTATTTTTACAACACCTGCCGTGGGTCCATTTCTAAAAATTCTAATTCTTTTTCATTTACCGGTTACTCGATCATGATAGGTTAGGTCCTCTATGCCCCTCTATGATCTTTTCTCCACAAGATGGCGTGGAAAATTATCTTGTCTATCTATTGCACATTATCTTGCCACAATAGAATATAAATTGTCAATATAATTTACTTATTTTAATATTATAATAAAATTGTCAAAACTGCTGCTGAATTTATTGGTTGATATTTGTTGATCTTATGTTACATACAATTCTTATAGTTAAGAAAAATATATATTCGGTCCATAGAGGGTTAAATTATATTTCATGGAGACTTCGAAAAAAGAACGAAAAAGAATCATGTATAATTAAAACCGCGTATTTTGAAAATGTGTACCGTGACAACTATAATTATAAATTTTCCGAGACTAAGAATCCTTGTTAATTTTTTTGCACTCTTACTATTTTCAATCTTTTTAATTATTTTATATTTCATTTTAATATTCAAA